TTTATGCATTAATTAAGTTCGTAAGAATATATCAATCTAGACAAGTTATTTCATAAAATTTATGACTTAACTAAGCATATGTGTATTTACAATTTATTCGCATTAATTTATCATGTAATAGTGTAAATATAAATAATATCTATTAAGCAGTATTTAAAATAAACTACTTCCACAGGTCGAACTTCAAGATTTTGGCAAGATTTCTGTGAGATATTAGTGGAATATCAGAAATGAATGATAATTATATGAAAGGGTTTCAACTTAGAACTTATAATTATCAGTTATGAACAAATGATCTAATGATACTATTTGATATAGACTTGTTAAAAATATTAACAGGAAGTGACGCGAAGTAGTACAACAGGTGCCCATTTTCGATTATATACTGTATATATTAGGGACAGTGTATGAATAGAAAATTTGTTTGCGAAGTGATTGTTAGAACCTAAAAAATGGTTTACGTTATTTGTTTAAAACGTCGCTGACAGAGCCACCGGACTTTAATGGAATCTAAAATAGCGCTACTTTTAGCAAAATAGCTAACAACATTTGTTTGTGCTAATGTCACGGGCTAGATTGACATCAATAAAATAAAAATTAATATTAAATATTCATGAACTTGAATACTTAGGTTTATAAGTATTCTTTACACTCATGCACTAAATTATTGTGAATAAAATTATAAATAGTAAATTTGATGAATTTAAATAGTTTAATGCTCTTTACACTTACATAAATTTGAATAGCTTACTCTGAATATTTAGATTAATGAATGTTCTTTCTTTATACTCACATGCTAATTCAGTAATTATCACCAATAAAAATGTAATTATAATAGATTATTTAAATATTTAGAGTAATGATTTTTCTACTACATACTCACAATCTAGAATAATTAATAAATTTTCATGATTTGAATATCTGAATGCTTGGATTAATGGATGTTCTTCGTACTCGTGGACTAACCGAAATTAAGTAAAATAATTTTTATCGAAAAATATGCTTGGTTAATATATGCTCGCCCATTAAATCATACGAATAAAAAAATTAAGTTGATAGTTTATCTTAAATAATCATGTGGCATGAATGATTGACAAAAATGTACGGCACAAAGAGACGATAATTTGCCAGGGTGGCTTCCTCAAAGTTCGGGATTGATGATCGACTTCACTGCCGCAGCATATAGTCAACGTTGTCAGATAATCAAGATCTTTTATCGGTTTAGCGTCATGTAACGAAATAAAATAAAATACATGCTGCGACAGTGATGTCATCAACTCGAACTTCGATAAAATCGATTTAGTAAATCATGATTGTCATGCAATGACATAAAGAACTTGCAGTATTGATTATGTGAAATACAATATGGCCATATTTAGAAGTATTTGTTGGTAACGTTCGTGATTCGAAGTTAGACGGACATGCGAGTAATTCGGAAATTCTGATATGGAAATTATGGTTAGAAACATTCTAAACAGTTAGTGATTAAAATGTCCCAGAAACTGCACTTTTTTTTATTTTTTATTTATTTTTTTCTACCGGGGATACCGATTGGCATTTTTTATTAGTTTACTTAGATTTCATTTCACTTAATTTCAACTTTATTATCACTAAGGAAGAAAGAAGTAAAAGATTAAAAAATAAAAGGAATGCTAAATATAGACATTAGACAAATTAAATGCAAAATAACGTCTTATTTGTCTAATAAGGTAGATAGTTCCTTTTAACCCAGTTACACGAGAGATAAATTAAATCTCAGAATAACGTACGTACGTACATATACGCACAGCACATTACCGTTACATTTTTAATGTCATTCTAATTTCCCTTCCAATGCTATAATGCAATCTTCCTAGGTATATTTCAACGATGATTTGGGGTCTTACCCTCATTTTACGGTTGTATATTGAAAAATCTGCAAATTTACATTACCCCTCGTGTCTAAACAAGCAATAAATAGACGGAGTTTTGAATTTCAGACTCAACATTCTGATGATACACCACGGTACACTTTAGAAGTTTCGCGAATTTCAAAATGATTGTAACATCCATTCTTTCTCAATGCAGAGTTAATGATCATCGTACATGTGTTTCTTGCAGATGCATTTCTCATAGGTGCATAAATATGAATATGAGAAGCATGTTGCTTTTTCAATTCTTTGTGAAAAATTTTTCTTATTTTCAGTAAGTAATAACAAATGCAAGGAAAAAAATTCAAACGAATAATTTTTGGATATTTTAATTTCATAATCAAACCTTCCTATTATGGTATTATAAAATTTAAATGCTCGGATTTTCTTGGATAAATTAATGCAATATATACATATAATTAGTTTTGCATGCATAATTTACAGTTCCAATTATGGTATTAAAGTAATTCAAAAATGTTGGATTTTCTTTTTTCACTAAGTTATAAATAAGACATCTGTTTTTTAAAAAAAATTTACATTTCAAAAATTCAAACCTCCACCTAGCATAATACAATCTTTTATAATTAGATAAATTCCCTAACAAGATGGCGTTCATTAGAAAACCCGTGATCATCATGTTGATTGTGATGTCGCTATATGCTATTCTCGGCGCTGGTAAAAATGAACTTAAAAAAGGTAATAGCAAAAACAATTTTTCTAAAAATTTCTAATTATAATTTAGAATCTTAACTAAAATTATTTATTTTCTTTTGGAAATATGTAAAATTTAATTTAGTTTTTACATGCCCAAAGGAAAATGATAAGAATAATCCTAATGGACTTTACGCCAATCCAGATGACTGTTATACATTCTATCAATGCGCTAACGGTTATCCATATGTGATGGATTGCCCTGATGGTTTGCAGTGGAGTACGAAACTATTAAGATGTGAATGGCCTGAAAATTCTGATTGCGGGGTCACATCTAGTAAAGAATTTACATGCCCAAAGGAAAATGATAAGAATAATCCTAATGGACTTTACGCCAATCCAGATGACTGTTGTACATTCTATCAATGCGCTAACGATATTCCGTATCTGATGAATTGCCCTGATAATTTACAATGGAGTACGAAACTATTAAGATG